GACAGGAACGATTTTGCACGCATCGCGTAAACAAGGTTTTCTTTTTTTTTTTTTTAAGTTGGTCACAGAATTTTCTACGGAAATTTTTTCTTTTCACACAAAAGTGGAGGGAAGAGAGACGCGGGCGAATTTAGGAGCGGCGAATTCGATCGACGCGTCTATCGGCGGATGAGAGAAAGAAAAAATTGTGTGACGCGTCGTTCGAGTTCTGAGCCCCCTCTTGGATTTGGCGCGGGGTTTTTCTCTTGAAAAACTTCGTTGGGGGGGAGGGGGGGGGTGGAACGACAGGACGCGGGAAACATGGAACACCACAAGTTTATCGTACGCTGTGTACGATAAAAAGAAAAAAAGAAATCGAGGAGAAATAGCGATATATAGATTTTTTTCTTTTTTTTCTTTTCTTCTCTCTTCTTCTCTTTTCTTTTTGTTCCTAATCTCCAAGACCAGCCGGAGTTACTGCTTCTCCTTGAGTCCGCCTAGGAGAGCGTGGCTCTCCATCGTCGCGCTCAGATTGCTCAGATTGCTCAGATTGCCCAGGTTCCCTAAATTGCCTAGGTTGCCGAGGTTAGGTTGATGCGCGTAGTTCCTGATCTGGTGGAGGCTGATCAACTGATTGGGGAACGAGGTCGCGTTCTGATTGGTGGTCGTGCCGGACGTGACCCCGGACGACGAGGACGCTGGGGAGGATTTCTGCGTCGAGTTGAACGCCTCGTAGAGGTAGGGCCTCGAGGCTGGATGATGGCTGGCCGGGTAGTGAAGGTGGTTGAGGGGGTTCAACGGGTGTTGCATGGAGGAGATCGAGTTTATCGAGATGGAGGAGATCGGCGTGAACGCCGAGCTGCTGTTCGGGTGATGATTGGCGCCCGGCTGGGGCGTCTGTTGCCTCGAATCGTTCTCGATCGACTCGCCACGGTGGCCGTGGCCGGGCAACAGCATCTCCGGATTCTGGTTCTGATGGTAGTCGGTGTGGTGATGGGGCAACCGGTCGTGAAGATCGCTGATCACCGAGTCCGGGCTCACTTTCGGCCAGTAGTGGTCCTGATGATGGGCCGCCATCGCGTGGATCGACGGCCTGAGCCCCGTCCGATGATGGGAGGTCTCTTGTCCGTCCTCTCCGCGTGTTCTGCATGTGCTTGGCCAGATACGTCTCCTGGGTGTAACTCTTGCCGCAGTACTGGCAGATGTGCGTCTTAAGGTGCTTCGATTCCTTGTGCTTCGGTATGTGCTCGAGCAAGCTGGGCTCGTCGGAGAAGCACTTGTAGCAAGAGTTACACTTGTACGGCTTGTCGGTCTGGTGACAGCGGGAGTGGCTCTGCAAGTTGCTCAGCTGGCTGAACGCCTTGGTGCAGCCTGGATGCCGGCACTTGTACGGTTTGTCACCGGTGTGCGTGCGGATGTGCTGCTGTAGGTGGCTCAGTTGGGTGAACTTCCGCTGGCAAATCTCGCAGCGGTACGGCTTGATGCCCAGGTGGATCCTGGTGTGCTGGGACAGGTACGAGGAGTTCGCGAACGCCTTCGAGCACTGGGTGCATTTGTACGGCTTCGCCTCGCGCATGTGGATCTGCGTGTGGAGCTGCAGGTCCGCCTTGCTACCGAAGATCTGCGAACAATCGAACCGATTCGTTATTTTAACGCAAAAAAA